AAATTATGTCTATATCTAAAGCTTTTGGTGAATGAGCTAGTGACAAGTTCACAGTAGAGAGAAGTGGATTTCTAAATTATCTCTTGCCTGATGATGAAATAATGGCAGATAGGGGATTCACAATTGATGACTTACTTTTTCCATCAAAAGAAAAATTAAATATTCTTGCATTTACTAAGCATAAATCCCAGCTTAGTGCAGCTGATACGACATCAACAAGAAGAAGTTCTCATGTCAAAATTCACGTGGAAAGAGCCATAAGATAACTAATAGTTTTTAAAATATTAAGTATTATTGTACCAGTTTCCTCTCTGAAGCTTTTTGATGATATTCTGCTTGTCTGTTCTGCATTTGTAAATTTAATAGCTGAACTTATTAGAGATAAGGACTTTGATGAAAAAAAAAAGTGAAAACAACAATTTTGTATACAAGTAATGTTGTACTCATAAATAAAAGTTTAACCATTGTCTTTGATATTTTCATAAAATTTATATATATTGTGAAAATAATTTCATATATTGCACTCTCTTGCTAAATTAAAATCTTTGAATGTGATGTCCTCTTTGTGCCAGTTCAGTATATAAAAGTGTATTTCCCACTATCATGACCTACTATATATTCATGTACCTTGAAAAATGAACATCAGAAAACTCAATCAATTGAAAAAAAAAGAAAAAGATTGTTGTTGTTCATGTCACAGTCAACAAGAATAACAAACTTTTACAAATACTAATTTCAAATAATACTATCTTATTACTACACTATCTAATTCCATTTCAGTAAAAAACAAATTTGTTGATAGTATGTCAATTTGTTTACATTTTCTTTCACTACTGCAATGGTGCCATCAAAAGCATCGTTACCTAGCGGCCATGTCAAAAAGTAAGGGTGATAACTGTAAAAACATGTCTATAGCTCTTATGAACATTCATGATCAATGTGCATGCATTCACACGTGTGCAAACAGTTCAATACAAGATGTCAACATTTTTAAAAATTAGTGAACAATTTATTCAATGCCTTTGGGCTGAATTACAACAAAACTGACAAAAGTCATACATGTATTGATTTCTTATTGTTAAAATCTTGCAAATAAATGAATCACCAACGTAATTTATAATAGGACATGTGACAAAGCATAAATCCTGATAGATATATGGTTCAGAGCAACTTCATTTTGACAGATATCAGCTTCAAGTTGAAAGGTCATTGAGTTATTTATAGTCATGTTTACTTGATGAAAAGTGTTTATTTTGGCAGAATGGCAAGATTGCGCTTATGTGTAAACAAGTGGTAGTTAAGTGGTTGAACACAACTTTGGAAAGACCCGACATAAAAGGTTTGGCACACGTATGTTGGAACTTATGACCGAAAACATTTAGTGACCACTGAGCTTATACCAACAGACAGTAATTCCTGCAGTAGTAGCAAAAACCATGAGTTTTTATTTCAGTAAATAGCTGATGCCAGAGATTTATTATTCCAGTATTAATTTAATTAATGCGTTTTTAATAAACACCTAACAACAACAAATAGTAATTTTTACATTAGTGAAAAAACAAACAAAAAAACGATTACACGATGTTTAATAAATAGTTGGAACCAACACAGTATTTCGTAAATTATTAATAAAACATTTTCTATTTTAATAAATAGCTGACACTAACAATAAAAATACTGATTAATTATACTTATCATGAGACATAAGTACTAAGCCTATTATATTTGTAAACACTACATTCTTTATCTAGTCTCTTAGGGATTTTCAAGAATTAGAAAAGTGTAAAACAATAGTATTCCAACCACAGTGTGTTTGCCATATTCATTGCTGATGAATGTATGCAGAGATCTTCAGGCCAGCTGGGATACAACAAACACAGTAGTTGTCAGAACACTATTTATATAAGTCATTTGTTACAATGACAACAACTGTTATGGTTTTCTTAAAGAAGTTATGAATCTTTAATAATAAGCAAAAGTGAAGAATGGTTTTTAATTATACAAGATAAATAAGATTTTAGTGCACCATATGTTGTACCAGTTTTGATACTGAATCTATGAACATCAGTGTTTTGTACCAGTTTTGATACTGAATCTATGAACATCGGTGTACCTTTGTACCAGTTTTGATACTGAATATATAAACATCAGTGTACCTTTGTACCAGTTTTGATACTGAATCTATGAACATCGGTGTACCTTTTTACCAGTTTTGATGCTGAATCTATGAACATCAGTGTTTTGTACCAGTTTTGATACTGAATCTATGAACATCGGTGTACCTTTGTACCAGTTTTGATACTGAATATATAAACATCAGTGTACCTTTGTACCAGTTTTGATACTGAATCTATGAACATCATTGTACCTCTTGAAAGATTTACTAATTTTTGTGCAGACCTGATTTTAAAAATTAGTATAAACTTATGATTAACTGTGCATTTTACACTATTACAACTTGCCACTGAAAAATCTCATTTTTTTATATTTAATGATAAAAAAGGAGAATCTGTACATTCAATTCACAGGTTTAATTGTAATAATAATGAAAGTCAGGAAAAACAAACCATCATTCTGTGACAATGCAGAAATTGTGTAATGTTGAAGCTGACAAAACTTGAGCCATTACCTGGTAATAAGGATGTAATAAAACAGGTGATAATTTTAACCACATCATTCTTTTCATACTCAATAATGTCTTAGGTAAAAAGTGTATACAGAAGCATTTCAATCACACTATATCTGTTGTTATAAGTCACTACAGCAAAAATGCTTGTTTGCTCAATATCACAGTTCATAAAGCCAGCTTGGTTACAACATGTAAAGTTTGTAATGCAAAAGCTGGTGAATTATGATCCATTACTTTGTAATAGGTGTGATATTACAATACAATATGAATGTCATTAAACATATCAATTATTCTTACTTGCTGAAAACCCATATTGGACAAGTCAAGAAAGTCGCAATTAAAATTAATATCAGTGATACTCTGATGTACTATCACACCCATTATCAAATAATGGGTAATGTTTCCAACTGCTTTGGCATTATCAACTTGATGATTCATAATGATCAAAAGCAATACCATTTTAATTAGACTGTATGTTATAACCAGCAAACATTGAGTGAAAGATCTCATCAGCTATGGCATACAATAGAGTAAGTGTAGATAAAATGTTGTTGTACATTTTTCTTATTGGCAACCCATAACAGACCAGTAAAGAAAGATGTGATTAAAACTGTTACCAGTATTACTATGATGTAGTATCACTCATATTATCAATTAGTTACGAGACACAATCATATTATCATCAAAAATAAAGAAATAAAAAACGTCAAATGTTAATAGTATTGCACACATCTGAAGAATGCACTGCTTTTAAAAGCAACATTTCAACATGGAATACAAAACATAAATCTTGAAACTCCTGATATTAGCAACACCTTAAAAACAACTTCAAACAGATCAGCCAAGTAGAAGAAAGATACACTTACCGAAAGCTCTCTTTTCTGCTGACCACTCTGAATTTTCTCCTGATCTGTTTCTGCCTTCAAGCCATTATCAACAAACTAAGTAAAAAAGCATTGTATAATCTAATGTAACAACATAAAAAAAAGTATAATCAACATATTCAAAAACATATACTGAAAGTCACATTATTCATATACAACAAAAAATTTCCAAACTTAAGATAAAGCAATAGCATTCAGTTTCAGACACATTCGTTCATGTACAGCTTGAGTTAACAAAACCCATCCAGTAACTCAACTTATACTACTAACTGTCCAAAATTATTGTAACTGCACATAATTGGAAATCTAGAAAAGCACACACTACAAGAGCTTGGTAATCAAGAGAAACATACATTACATGTACCTGGAAAGCTAGAGAAATATACACTACATGCACCTAAAATAACCAGAGAAACATATACTACAGATGCCCGGAAAGCTACAGAAACATATGCTACATGTGCCTGGAAATCTACAGAAACATACACTACATGTGCCTGGAAATCTACAGAAAGACACTGAATGTGTTTGAAAATATAAAAAACAGACAGACACACACATACTAGATATGTTTAGAAATCTAAAAAAGCATACACTGCATGTGCGTGGAAACCTAGAGAAACACACATTGCATGTACTTAGAAATACAGCAAACTTACATTAAGAGTGTTTAAAATTTGGAAGAAATACACTATCAAAAATGGAAATTTCATACAAAAAAGACTGTAAATATCTGAGTTTTAGAGAAAAATCATAATGAAAGGGTGTGAAACTTGAGAAATGTGTTTTTAAGTGCTAATAATTTTTAAAAATCAAAGTGCATGTCCTTAGCAATTTAAAAATATGCATTAATAGTACTTTTAATTCTAAAAATATATTACTAAAGATGTTGTCCAGAAGAGTATTATTATTATCATTATGATTGTGGTATTTGAAAATTGCTTTTATGATAATTTTATTGCACCTAGTATTTTTGGGGAAGAGTGAAAGCCAAAAGGTCAGATTTTCCCGGCTTGGCCATAAATAAGTATAAACATTCTTCAAGTCACTGAATAAGAATAGTTTAATTGAAACTGATATTGGATGAAAATAGTTAAGTCTTCTGTTTACACAACATGTTACAAAAATGTTAGCAATACAGTGTTTTCAAATTACAGAAACAAGCCATCTACAAATCTTCTTACTTGTATTTCAATTCATACTCAATGAAAAATGGCTGATCCTAGAAAAAAAAAATTAAGAGAATACAACGACTACAAGATCTTTACATTCCAAAGAATCCATTTTAGCCAAATAAAAATATCAAACTGATAATATCATAAACTAGTATAAGCAAACACCTGGACACAACTTATCGAAAAAAGATCTTTATGACATAAATCAATCCTAAATCATGCCCAACATTTACAAATCAATAATTTTTAACTTTAACACATCCTAAACATAATGATGATGGTACACAAACAAGCTCAAGAGGAGCTGCATTGACCTTACACTACAGCCTTTCTAAGTATTAGGTCATCAAGAAATCAATGTTGCATTTTGGAACACTTTCATTACCCCCCTCCCCCCCAAAACATACATCACGTATAATGATTAAACAAACCACCTAAATGTCACATTAGTGTAGCCTATATAATGCGTAAAGTTTAGTATACTCTAATGCCTTATAGTGATGGCACACGACGAGGCACACATTCGGCATGTAATGCTGTTTGAAAGCAAGAAGGTAAACAACGCCTCTGTAGCCCCAAAGAATATCAAAGAAGTTTACGGAAATGTTTGATCATTTGTAAATGTCAATGATGGTTCAGCAAATTTCGTTCAGGTGATTTTAAATTTAAATACTGTGAGGGCAGGGGCTGACATGTTGGAATTGATGTTGATGCTCTGAAGACACTTGTGAAGTCTAACCCAAGGCAACACAATTGTGAAATGGTACTGAAATTGCCTGTCTCTCATGAAACAATACGTAAACATCTA